GCGACCGCCTTGTTTGTCCAGATGAGGTTGCACGTATGGCTGCAACTTTGTAGTACTGGATTTAACAGGATAAAACTGCAGGGTAAATCACAATTTAAGCAAGGCAGATCCGAAACTCTCAAGTTTAAGAGTTAAACACACAATTGCATGTCCAAATGTTTGGCATGCTTAGGCCAGTGGGGTGAACTGAGTGCACTTGTTACACCAAAAACTTGGCTGGAAAAAGTTGCTTTTGTTAAGAATTTCTAATAAAGGGCACACTGATTAGAGTTCCTCCTATCTCAAAGAGGGTCCATTTTACCAAAAGACAGCCCCAGTATCTCTTTCAGTCAAAAGTGTCTTTACACTTTACAATGTCAGGTAAAAGGCTTTCACTATACTTAGAAGTGATACCTAGATATTAGTGTCACTTGGGATCAAATGCCACTCTCTGGATCCTCTGGTGGTCTGGGGGACGTGTAGACACTGCTGTACTATCTGACTGTTGACTGTTGAAGTGAGTATTTATTATAGACATTATCTGGTTTATGTCAAAATGTTACCAAAGTGATATGTGGAGAGGGGGTGAAGGAATCCCTGTCTAAGGCCACATTCAACCAAAGTTGATCAGTGGACTAATAGATCTGCGGATCAAATATGGACAACCCAATTGAAAGCTTGCCATGTAATCCCTACAAGGAATCTATTTGGTGCCTATTAGAGGGTTATGCAGCAAGCTTTCAAATGGGTAAAACATATTTGATCCACAGATCTGTTAGCCACCAGATCAACTGGTTGTGAATATGACCTAACATGTACCACAAGTTTTGTCATTAAAAACACCAACTTACACAACTTGCACTAATTAACTGTCAAAAAACAAACTAAGTTCATATGGAAAAATCACATGAAAACTGTTAATAAATCTACCTTAATGCATACTTATACAGTGAATGTCAGATGCCTTTCAAAAACAATTTCTGCAAAAAATCTGTTTTTCAGACTCCAAATCTAGCAGTGTAACATTTTATAATTATAAAAATCAAAACTGCAGTGGTTAAAAAGCAATTTCGGTCATATTTCAATAAGAATAATGCATTTTACACACACACACACACACACACACACACACACACACATTCAAAGGATAAAAAACTTCCAACCTCCTCTGATTGTTGACATTTGGAACACTCTGGAGACACTCTGTCTCAAGGACTTCACATACTTTTCCACCACGATTTTCACCCCCAGACAATGATCACAAGCAACAAGTATGATTTGTAGACTCAACACATGACCCTACACACTCTATAGTCATAATACTGTCAACCCAGTTTTCTGTCATAACACAGTAAACCCAGTTCTCTGTCATCCCTCTGTTATAACACTGTCAACCCAGTTCTCTGTCATAATACTGTCAACCCAGTTCTTTGTTGTAACACTGTCAACTTGACAGTGTGAAGACAGAGAACTGGGTTGTCAGTGTTATGTCAGTGTCAACCCAGTTTTCTTCATAACACCGTCAACCCAGTTCTCTGTCCTTTGCGACCCTGGCCTAAACACCAACATTTACTTACTCATAAGGACCTCTCAAAGATTTTACACCACTTCTAGCTCACCACACACATACACACACACAGTGGGCATTTTCAGACTATGGACATAATCCATTATCCTTCAGTTTGGACCAAACTCATCCCAACCCTACTTTTGTCTCAAGTGTACCCAACTGTCTTAACCTCTTAAGAATATATATGGTGCTGTAAAGCAATCACCTCCCTAAGATGACTTAACAAATTAATATGTAAGTCTTTCTACACCTGTATTAGAAAGGGTATAATACCACACCTGGGAGCACCGGGGTTAGCAGGTGACAACATTCCGAGACTTGTTAAACATGACTTGCCTTCCAAACCTTACCCGATGCACATGGGTAACTACTAAAACTTGTTGTAGCTATACATAAATTTGATACTTCAATGACTTAACCTGAGGAATAAAGTTGTTTTGTATTGAACCATTTCTTGCCCAATATCTTTCTGCAAAGTGTGATTTTCTTTCTTTGTAATGTATGTATATTTACAAGTTAATCAAAGATGACATTTTTATTTTCATGTGACAAACACAGCATTTCTCAAATTTCTTTAAGTTCAAATAACACATTCTCAGATGATAAAACATTTAGAGAAAAAACTGTCACTCTTATAAAAATGCAATTTAACACATCTTCTTAAGGGAGTATCCTCCTAAATTGTCCTAATATTTTAAAAAACTCTATCAGAATATCTCTTGCACACACAACATAACTAAGACAAACAAAATATTTGTCTTGTTTTTCACTTCTACCCTCTTTCACCACTCTGACTCTTAAGACTGGTCAACAAATTTGCATTCATCACTTTTATCCAAACACTTCTCTGAATGCCCCTTACCACAACCGCCTGGAGACATATTTACAATTGGTCATCGTCAATGGCCGTGCCGCCTTAAACCAAAGCAAAATACTTATTTCTTCAAGTGCACACTAATTTTCAGAGCAAATCAAAGTAAGTACAACAGCCCTGTGGCTGTGCCAGACCATTTTACAGTGGACTATGGGTCCAGCAGGACACAAAACATCCAATCTACATGTTAAGCATCTAATAACAGTAGTTTCCAAACTGAAGACATTTTAAAATGCTGTCTACATGTATATCTGAAAATTTAACTGAACAAGGGACATTATCTCACTGGGGGTCCAATAAAGTAGACTATGATTTGGGACAGAAAAACTGCAATGATAGGATCGATGAGAGGCATTCTATACCGCATGTCTCGACAAGAAGTCAAGCAAAGAAAAAACTCATTCATCAAGGTGTAAATGTGAAACCTAAATTTTCAATCAGATAACTTTTTTTCAGACATCTCAAAATACAATATTTTGTCATAAGAGACATTTCCCTGTACTTAGGGAGCTCCATGCATTGTGAGCATATTAATGACTTAGCTGGGTCCCCACAACCTTTTATGCATCAATAACACAGTCAATACAGACTGTGATTTTTATTTGAATCAAAACTCCATGGCCCCGTCAAAATATGACACAACATCATGTTGGCAAACATCAAATAATAAAACCTGCTGACTTGTCAGCATGCCTTAGTCTTTTGAACAGTTAAATTCCATTTGCTACTATTGTTCCATCTAGAAAATTTCTGAGTGCACTCATTCCACAACACAGGGGTCATTATCCACCGTAAAACTTGGTAAAACAACGTTATTTGCACTATTCTAACTTAAAGGCTGATGCATAAATAAAAAGAAAGAACATTCTTAAGCTCAGATATATTTATGTGTAAGTTTCCTCAAAGTTAGCCATCCAAGAAAAAAATTTGAGTCGATCAAATTACTTAAGTATTATGTTTGTTTCTTCAGTGGTGGAAAAACCAACACCAATACAGAGCTCAGCCCTGCACAATATGTACATTTTGAGGTTCTATAAAAGTAAATTCTTATCAGCATTCACAGGTTCTGAATGAATAGCATTCATGCTCTTGCATTTTACTTTTTTTATATAAAGCAAAAATGATGGAATCTTGAAATGCCATTACTCACAACTATCATCATAGTGAAGGTGTAAATAATACTTTTAATCTTTAATTCGCCGACATTTTCCTCTTGTCAAATGTTGTCTTAGTCAATATAGTATATACTGTCAATTTCATTTTGTCTTGGACTTGTGTTCTACGATATGCTTCATTCCTTGCAGCTCTATTAAATTCCTTTCAGGATATTAGTGTAACAAAGTTAGCTACTTAAATCTAAAGGGTTAAATTGGAAGGGAGGAGGGAAGTAAAGAAAGAAAGACCATATGTCCACTTTTATCTGAAGTAACCCCTGTGCTTTGATTGCCCATTTGATTTGACTCAGTAATCCCCTTTGGCTACCTGCTGTCACTCACTGCCTCAACAATTTATGTTTTGGACCGGGGTCTTCTATTAAAGCATAACATTATCAGTGAAAAGGAAGTTCAGTGTGTAGAACTCAGGGTCAGGACTAAAACGGCCAGGTAAACTACTATGTACCATCTCAAGCATTCTGATACTACCTGACTGTATTCTGACCTGCGCACCTTTCTGAACCAAACTCCCTTAATCCATCACACTCAAGACAAATCCATGCTTCACAGGCAAAAATAAAGGAGTTATTTTTTACCTGCATCCGGCGATCATTTAAAACATAAAGCAATTTTTATGGGTTAGAAGTTTCATTGTTGCATGAGGTTATTCAGATGTACCTGCCACTGCATGAATGGAGTTAAAAATTTGAATCACACCAAATCAGTATCGAATGTGTACTCCTACATCTACTTTGTCGTACAAGAATAACAATCACCCGGTTTGTATAAACTGTAAACCATTCACGCTGGAAGAATAGCCATGTATTTTTCTGATCCAGAAGGTCTTAACTAACAAACTTGTGATATTTGCTGATGTTACCTTACTGTAATAGAGACTGCGGGGCTCCGTGTGACTAACCACCTATGTGCCATGCATACAGTACTAAAATCTCAGAGGTTCTGACAATTAATTTTTTTCTTATTAAAAAAAATCCATTGCATGGTGAAACACAAAACTATTAAAATGTCAACTCTTAAGTTGCCCAAAAAGAAAGGAAACTCAAACCCTGTTTGCAAAAAAAATTAAATAAAAAATGGACTGATAAGGGTAATAACATTCTAAAACAAAACATCAGTGTTAATGTTATGCAGTATTGTGTGGCACTGGTTGTTGGTATGAAATCGGTGCACTTGTTCCCTTCTCTACTATTTTAGTACCACCGTTGGAAAGCTTTGACATTGACAGTATGGGACAACTTATAACCAATAACTTGCGACGACGACGATAAGCAAGCACCGTGAGCGCAGCGTGTTGCAACCACTGTATAAAAAGTACAGACTAAATTTCACAGTCGTTCTTGCGAAAGATTCGCAGCAGAATGTAAGTATTTAATAATGTTTAAGCTCCTGATGCATGTCCTACCTGATGCATCCCCAAGGAAAGGGTCGCCGGCGTTCCCCAATGGTATGTCCCCTCGTTCTCCACAGCCACCGACCAACACGGTACTGAGAACGGCCAAAAACAGTGCCCTGGTGAAAAAAAATGAAAAGCTCCGGTTAAAAATTGGCGTTCCAACGCACAGATTAAAATAATTTCCCCATTATAACAAAGGCATTACCTTGATGTCATGCCTGCACTGTTAAATGGCGGACTCCGTGTATATTTTCCGCGTTTCTTTCACACATCCAACTCCTGTCGTCTGCACTTAGGAAATCGCCTTGCTGGCTGGAGGACGGACGAGTCCACTTTCCACTCTCCGCAGGGAGGAGAGGTTGTCGCACACACTTAGGGGGGCAGCACGGTTGCAAAAAAGCGCTTTGAAAAACGTCAGTTTCATTTGAGGGGTAAAACAAACTAATTAAATTTAAGGTGTGGTCAGTGTGGCAGAAGTAATGGCACATGGTTGGGGTGCAATGACGCGGAAAACTGCAAACTTTTCTTGCCGTTTTCGCTGTTTTCGTTTCTTCAGCAGCCGCCGGCTGAGGACACGAGAGTGTAAAACGCAACAGGTGCGTTAGCTTCCCTTTATTGTTTCTCTTTACATGCATTGAATGACCTCATCGTATCAGTTGCTTTTCTTTTGATTATCAAGACCAAATTAATATCACACTGTTTGCCCTTCTCGCTCTGCGCCAATATTTTTGGCAAATGAAACACGCTGACGGGCAAAAACGTGGACCCTCGAAGTTGAGAATGACGAAAGTAATATTTACAGATTTGCTTGAAGTAAACTAAACTAAATTAAGATATGTCTTCTTTTATTTTCATTACACATAACGTATAGAAATGCACCAACTGTGCTAGTATTTGGAATAACAGTGAAATATTGAGGGAGACCCACCCCTATCGGTTCCTTCCGTGAGCGGTCAAAGTGATTTGTAACATTGTTTTGTTCCACTTGATTTTTTTCTTAATATCCCATAAGCATGATGGTTTAGAATAGGAAAGTATAAGCACTGCACTAATAATCTGAACAGAATCTTGGGAGATGTAAAGATTCCTTACATTGTATGTTGTCAATGTGTATTCTTTACACCCTTTTATGTCATATTTTCATCAACAACAAAGAATTAAATGTCCCATCTTATGCAGATCACTTGAATGCACTAGCAATCTCATTTATCATTGAGAGTTTATGTATTTAGAAAAAAATAGTTCACAAAATATTACATTAACTTTATTATTTCCACTTACAGTTTACTTTTTAAATAATCTAAAAACATATTGCTATATCTTTACACCAAACTAGAAATGAAAGTGGTGCTTTTTACACTTTTGTTGACTCTGCAAGCTATGTATCAATACAAAAAGTTTGGTGACAGTTAGTCCAGGCAAATGTATTTTGTCATTTGAAATCAGAGCCCTTTCTTTACAATGCGTTTGACCTTTAACTACCCCAAACAATGGCAACTTCCCTTCTGCCCATGAGCTCTTAAGAACAAATAAACCAGACAACTGTATCATTTGAATCACTGAAACTACTTGACACCAACACAGATTTGACTTCCGCTGAAAGATGAACAGATTATTATTTGCATCCAGCTAGGGAAATGTCTGTGCTATGACACATTATGTCAATATGTGTGTGCAAAAATCTGGTACAAGGTCTTCTTGTTTTTCGTTATCAGTGATGGCAGAAATAGTATTTTAGAAGGAATGGGAATGATTAGTGTCTTGTTAACAAGGGGTAGGGTGTTACTAAGAACTCTGATGGGATTCATAAGCAAAAGATTATGTATGCTTGTATACTTCTAGGAAAAGGGGGGGTATATCATGTTATAAAAGTGCCTTAAACCATTGTGCAGAAGACTTTGAAATATGTCAATACACGTGTATAACAGAACTTCACCAAACTAACTAAAAAGGAAATTATTTCTATAAGACATTAATACTTTCAGCTGAGGCACTTGTGCATTTGGTATTTTTTATATCTGAAAATGACCTTTCAAAATGCCATTATCATTTTAGCTGGGTAGTATTGAACAAGATTTTAGGTGAAATCTGTCACATTTTTCTTCCATGTCGCTCTGTTCTCAAAATACTGCTCGTCAAGGTGAAATCGAACTCTGTACATCCGTGATTCCACAATAGTGATTTGTGTCATTAAACACAACAAGTTCTCCACCAGACGGTGTGACAAAAATACATAACCTCTTGCATTAAGGAAACCACAGCCCATGACAACTTTGCCTTGCTAACTACTGGTATGTGGCCCCAGTGTCTGTGGGCTTCCTGATACATTTGCATTAGCAATAGCCACCAGCCATGTATGAGAAAACAAACAGAATAGAGTCAACATAGCCACATAGGCTTTTTTATTCACAACCCCTCAGCAATAACCACAACAGTCAGACTTGCTGAAATCTCAATGTCAACCTCAAATCTTACCATAGAAATCTTGCACAATAAATCTACTGTGATAACGAACAGCTAGAGTGTATGTTCTTACCGGAAGAGTTTTTTTTCTAACCTGCTTGGTTAGGCGAAGGTGTTCCATAGGAAAGAAAAACAGATCTGCCTAGTTATAAGATCTTGATTGCCACACCCAAACATCATAGAATCTCTATTTGTCTTCGGTCTTTACAAATACAAGTTAAAAAATTAAATATTCACATTCAGGGGATAATTACATATATTTGAGAAAAATTTCTGAATGTTCTGAAGAATGTATCAGAAGTAACTCTTACAAGGATATTAGAACTAGGAATTAATTTTTCTATAGTTTTTCATATTCTTACGTATCTCTTAATTCCTGCACACATTTACTACTGAAAATAACATTTCTGAATGCTGGTCTGGTTTGTTCAACTGATACAATGTACTGCATATGTAAGCTTTCATGTTTTATGCATCTTCCATAAAAATGTATAGTAACTAGCTGCTTGATTTCAAGTATTTAATCTTTAAAATGTTGAAAAACTTACCCATCATTAGGTGTTACAGCTTATGAAAACAGAGGTTAAGGTTTGCTATATTTCAGAATACAAAATCAAGAGGTTTTCCATTTACACAATACAAAACTCTGCTCTGACTTTAATGTTTTCACAAACATCTTGCCAGCTTTAATTAACCCTTATGGCTAAAAGATATTAAATGAAATAAAAAAAAAACATTAACATTTATATTGCTTAGATAAAAAGATTTAAATAGTCAAGTCAGGAAGATGGTCTACTGAGGAAATGGATGTAACTTATCCTGACTGAAGCTGAATACAGAATTTCTCACCGAGACTAAATTGCTTAAATCTCATTCACACGAAGACCTAACAGAAATAAACATATGTATTGTACAAATGAGTTCACGTAGACACAATTACGTTCTAGTATGATGCATCCAAATAACTACAAAAATCCTGATAAAACACTTCAATCCCACTGTTGACCTATCCCCGTGAATACCAAGACTCACAGAGTATTCCCCCATTGTCAGCAATCTTGTAACTGACTTTGATGTGCTATTTTTTCTGACACACATAAAACACATGACCTAACCTATGTAAGTAACTGACTTGATTAGACAATAGTATTTTAGTATTCATTATCACAGTCTGGCACTGAAGTGCTGCTTACATCCACTGCCATTTGTTCCAATGGTTAAAAAAAGACAAAACTAACTTAAAATAGGGTATTGAGGTTGACAAGAAGTAGACTTCTTCAATATCCCACACGTAGATGGGTGGTTCAAAATGTTCACCCTAACTTAACTTATTATGACAGAATAATATACTGTAGATTGAATAGCAGTCATGCTCTAGAGGACACAAATAAAAAACGACATGGAACAGGAAAAGTTGCTCAGCAACATATGTGTATAAAAAAAGGTAATAATGTGAACTGCAGGTCTCAGCCAGAGATTGGAATTATTTATTTTCTTGAATTAAATCAGTCAATCAAGTGTCAATGGCAGTGCAGACTCCAGACTCTTGGTTGTTCACTCCTGGAGGTTCGACCTGACTGAAATGCCCAGAATTCCTCTCAGCATGCACTTTACCAACAGAGTCATCATTGTGCCCATATTTCTTTTTGTCCACAGATTTTATCATTGGCATCATTTCTAGAGAGTCCACAGTAGATTTGCTCTGCCCTTTTACGACTGACACAGTCATCTTCCCTGTTGTGCTGTTGGTATTACTGTCTGTGCTGTCCTGCCTACTGGTTGCCATGGTACCCAAGCTACTCCTGCCAGGTTTGGGACTAGCACCATCAGTGTCCTTAGCCGAATCCTTTTTGTGGGGCTTGCTGCTCTTCTCTGCTTTCCTGTGTGGTGACTTGGGAGGTTTGAATCCTGTCTTGCTGCCAGATTTGGTTTTTTCTGGGTTCTCCGGGTAGTCCTCGGAGATTGACACTGAAATTGTTGGGGACGTAGCAGCATCTGCATCATCCACGGTGATGTCATCTGTTAAGCAAATACAAGTAAAAAACATTTCAAATTTGGATGCATTTTAATTTCAAAGCCACTGTGCCTTTTCTTTACAGATTAATAAGAGTCACACGTCATCAAGCCCAGTGAGAAGTTGAAATCTTTAAAATAATTTATTTACCAATATCAGCCAGTTTTCAGTTTCTCTAAATCAACAGTCTATAAACCATTGTTTTCCCCTTCTTATCAATTTTTTCAAAATGTGGAAGCAATTGATATTTCAAATTAAAACAGGAATTAAAAAAACAGTGACTCAGACTACTTTTAAGTTATTCTATTACCTGGTAATTTTTTTGTCCTGAAGGAAGCATTAGTGATTGCAGGTTTGGTGAATGAGAGGGTCGAGGTTGCAGGTGACACGGCCACACTGATGCCCATGGGGCCATCCATTGGCTTGCCACTAGGATTGACCAGCAATGAGTTTTTAATGGCATTGGACACCTTGAAATAACAAATGTATAGATTGTGTTACAAATCAATCAAAATTTAGGAAATGAAGAAGTAAATGGAACCGAGGGAACAATGTTCAGTCAGTGAAGGAAATAGAACATATGAAAATAAAACATCTTAAAATTAGCCTGGAACATTATTACTTTGATAAATGGGAAGAAACTGGAATATGACAAAGGACAAGTACCTGATAGAGTAACAAGCTTGTTAATTTATTTATTGATTTGCATTTTATTTGGGAATAAAAAGAAAATCAAGTAATGGTCTTGAGTTTGTGGCCCAACTGTGTATATCATATGTACAGAGGGTTTTATTGCATTAATATTCTAAACATATTGTGTGAGTCATACTCATAATTATAGTTATATGCACAGCTTAAGAAACAGACAATGATGAAGATTTTTTAAAAAAATATATGTGGAAAATGGAACAAAAAAAAAATAAAAACAGAAAAAAGACAAAAAATGCCCAAAATCTTAACTAGGGGAGCTTCCATTTGAATCTGAAAACCAAACCCTTGTACGTGTTGTTGAATCTGATAAAAACTTAAGATCACATCTCAAGTAAACCTGAGCCTTCCGCCATGAGATCAGTCTGAATTAGTCATTTTTAAACCTTTACAGCACTAACAAAGTATTTTGAAAAGAAAATTGAACACATTTTTTACACTTTGAAAACAAACTTGAACACCTTTTTTACACTAAAGTTAAGATAATGCCCATGTTTAAAACTGTCCTAAATGGTCTAGATACTCAGTAATTCATAAATCAATTTTATTGCAATGTTATATGTCAGAAATTGCATACATTGAAAATACAAGCATAAAAAAAACAAAGAAAAAATACAAAATGTAAAAGGATGTTCTGTCATCCTTTTCTTAGCTACATTTATCTTATTTCAAGTTGAACAGCACAATGGTTTTTACTCCTCCATTTCTTCCAACCAGTTTCAAGATCACCCCATGCGCACATGCATGCAAGCACATACACATACCAACAAAATCCTCCCAGGATTCCACAATGAAAAACTATTTCAGATGGTAAATTATAAGTCATTAAAACAAATTATACTGGTCTGTTCATGACATGGTGTCTCTGACTAACATTTTAATGGCCTTGTATTCCCTTGCCAACTTCAGTAAAAATGCCCATTTCACATCTCTATCTCCCATAACTGCACACATGTCTCACATCCTTTGTGGATCATATTTAAAGACAAAGGTTGACATCAAGGATAGAAGTTTATAAATACAACACAAATTACTGGTGACACAAAAGTGCAACAACAGTTAACTTTGGAACAGTCCACGTGTTCACTGCTGATGTTGCACTTGAATATACACACATTTATCAACTATTGAAAAAATTGTAAAGCCTATCTTTTGACTTATGAAAATTATCACTGAATTTATTTGACTTGGAAAATGATATTTTATTACTAAGCACATATTCAAAGCATGCTGTTGATCATTTAACACTTCCAAATAAGCATGGCCAATAAATCATCATCTCACAAATTTTCTCTTACAAGCTGCCGAAAACCTTGAATTCAATCTTGCATTAAAATGTCACATCACTTAGCTAATCCCATAAAGCTTTCACTTAAACATAAAAAATAAAACAGATCCTGTCACATAGATGCAAATACAATGAAAGAAAGACATGATATGCATTGGGTTTATCACCCTCCCCCTAAAAAGGGGGGAGAAAAAAGAGATGAAATATAAAAGAAATCAGCACTAGGGGGAAACCAGAGACCCCAAGTCTCAGTTCACTTCACACCAAGACCCCCTTGCTGATCCTATCCAATCTGGGCAATGTTAAGTTGCCTTTTTTTATCCGTTCTTTAAAAGCTTTCAGCAGCAACTTGCCACTTAATGGCTGTTATCAGCATTGTCCGCCATGTGATTGAATCTAAAACCTTAATCAATGTGTCTGGCCATTAAAATTTAATAACATGTTAAGAAGAAAATGCTTTTCCAGTAAAAAAAGGTCGCTGATCTAATAACAATAGTGTACAGTTTAATCTTTTTCATCACCTCTGGTATTAAATGCTTTTTAAACACATAATGGGTGAATTGCTGGCACAAAACATTCCACAAAAACAGATTTCCGTTGTATTTTCATTATTTTACTCAATGTTACAATAAAAAATATACATGGACCCACTACTTGGCTCATCCCGGGTGAATAATAATAAGTCTTAATAGGTGTTTCTTAGGTATTTTTGAGGTAGAAAATAGACAGAGCTTAGAAATTTTTGTTATTTGTATTATTCCACTTCCAAACCTTAGTAGGGAAAAGTCTATGTAGATGTGTTTTCAGTTGAGTGGGGTTGTCTTAACGTGATACCAACCATCTCAGCAGTCTTTTCCATAATGACCATTATGATTAGTTTATCATAAGAAGCCAATCTAATCCTACCACTTCCTCACATGTAGTAGTTGTCAATGCATGAAGTTGTGGCTTATCATAAACTAATGTGTAGCCAAGATGATTTCTACTGAGTTAGACTGACACAACTAAAGTGGAAACACAACCAAACTCTCCTTTTCTAGTAACATACATCTAATGTTGTCCTCAGTTTAGCCTATTCCATCTCAATAAAACGGTTTTAAAAGATTGGACAACTGTAAATCTCATCATCAAATATAAAGGAGACAGATGTCTCAGTTTAGGCAATTAGAAATTTTTTTTATTCTGTTCACAGTTAGAGACGACCAATCAAGCAAATCAAGTCTGACATCATGCCTTGGCTTGCTTCACACACAGTTGTGAAAAAAGTTGTGGAGGAAAGAAAAGACGGCTGTGATAAAAAAAAATGTTCAAACATACATGTTAGCATAAATGAGGTATGCTCCCATGCTTGCACTGCCCCCCCCCCCCCTTTTAAAATTGTAATGATAAATACATGGAGATTTGCCAAAATATAATGTTAGTGCTACTGTTCTATTTTTTTTGTTGATGAATTGCAATGACATTGTAAGTGGAGCATTTGATGTGGATGGTTACCATATCATCCCTTTAAAATAGCTGATGTGCAAGTGCATTGCTTCATGTAAGCAAGGGCCATCGTTTAATCACTTTTTTAATGTGATGTTTGACAAAACAAGTTGAATAACCTCAACAAATGAAAGCAAAAAGGTGGACATGACTCATAAATATTATCAGAGGTGAAACGTGCTAGCATTTGTTAACAAAAAATTATCTTTACCCAGTCAGTATTAAATGATATCTAGTTACATCAAACAACACCTGTCTTTATAAATATTCTAAGAGAGTCGAAGGTTCAAGCAGGGTTAAATCTTCAAAGCCAGGCTAGTACAAAGTAAACTTGCATCTCATGATAATGAGCATGAACACAAACATGCACATATCATTGAATGGCACTTCAGATGAAATCTGTAACAGTCTTCAAAGCTAACATATAATAATCATCTACAGGCAACTGTAGAAGGTTGGCATAATGATAAGTAGTGCATTATGAAACAAATCTAAGCAATTTTTTTCTGTACTTGAATACACATTACCGTCTTTTAGAAATCAATTTTCTCCCCGCACACTTGCCCATTCCATTCTGATTGTTTCACAATAAGTATAAAGTCCTTTTTGCGGGGCTAAACACTTGGCCTGCTCCATGTAGGAGATGTATCTGACAAAGTTACATTTCATCATAAACCTAAAAGAATGCTAACCTTGCTTTTTTGTCTTTTAGAAAGACCCCTTAAAAATCATCTCGACCAAAGATTTTAGTTGCTGTGGTGACAGTAACCCATTCAAATATACCAAATGCATTTACTGTAGACCAATCGATCTTATATATCCTTAGACCAATCACAAAATCATTTTTGGATAGAGGACTATCTGATATTAGCAATCTAAGCTTAGTACAAGAATGTTTTTTTTTTTTTTTTTTTTTTTTTTTTTTTTTTTTTTTTTTTTTTTTTTTTTTTTTTTCACAAGACCCCTGCACTGTCAGTTGCAACAGCTGCTGTTTTGGCTGCTATAATTCAAGACTACATAAGTAAAATGGAGATAACAACTTCTGGATATCAAGAAATTGTACACCTTGTCTAATTATACCTAAAATGTTATGATCCAGGAGAGACAGGAAATGGTGGTGAATAACATGAAATAAAGTTGGCTGGTTTCTGTGTTGTCTGATAACATCACACCTAAAGGTGTAACAAAACCACAGTAAACATTTCATGCGACTTGTTCTCCGTCAGGTCATGAATCCGCTTTCCAACCAAACTGACAAAGCGAAGGTTTGAAGACAGTAAACATTTCAAACAAATTTTTATGCTTAGCAAGTACTGCTGTATGTTTTCTGCTAAGAATAAGAAGAAAATCACTTTGGTGGGATGTGCCATGTTACAGTTATTACATGTAACCAAATTGGAAAAATGTGTGGTGGAAATGGAAAGAAAATTTTAACTTTTTTCCTTAATTCTGGCCATTAAAAATTTTAACAAGGTTTCAATAAATCACAGCACAAGTAATAACTCCATGTGTAGGCTAATATAACACTCAATTTAATGTAAAGATTATAAGAGGTAGCCATAATCCCTGGGGGTTGGTCCAATTCACGTTAGGATGAGTCTCTAAAAGAGCCACACTAGTCACTGTCCAGACTCGGGCATTATAATGTACCAGACCATGTAATTATTGCATAAAGGGGCAGAGAGAAATAGAGCCCAGTACATTTAGAATCATTTTACTTCAAGTAATTCAAGGGTGTGATGTTCCCCCAAAGTAAGTGTGTGTGGTCACATTTAAATTAACTGATAGTGGTTCCAATTGCAAAGCAAAAAAAATTCCTATCGTCCAACTTCTTTTCTACTGAGTTTATTAACTCAGATAGCCTTAAGGGACAAACTTGCATGCCCCACTCAAAGTTAAAACTACTGGAGTTAGGAAGAAATTGGCACGATTCAGTAATGTCAATCAAAGTTCCTTTTAGTTAACCATGCAGCAGGTTGTCCCCCAAGG